CATGGTTTCAAACTTTCAATCTTGCCGGTGGATTGACTCGTCCTATATGTATTAATGTTTCTCATTTTTACTTTTGTCTGTATATTAACATTGTGTAAATTTTCAAAATCATTTTAAATAATGATTATCTCTTTTAAAACAAGAGAAAGATTTAAAGAAAATCAAAAACGAAAATCTCAACCCATTATAATAGGTTAGATATGTGTCAATCAACACCAAAGATAGATCAAAAGAGTAATTTATAATAACACATAAAACACAAAATTATATATAGACGAGGCAAACAAACATATGCATTTATATAAAAAAGTAGCCAAAACATGTGCAACTCGATAATGTTCATAGTAATCACTCTTCTCTTTCTAGCCATATCAACCGGCGTCCACGCCGGAGACATGACTCTATTCGCCGGAGTTTGTGACGGTAGAAACGGAGACAATCTCCCATCTCGCGACCAAACAGTAGCTCTCTACCAAAAAATGAACATCGGTTGGATAAGACTATACGAACCTTTCCCTGACCTCCTCGAATCATTAGAAGGAACCAATCTTCTCGTAGCGATCGGACCAAAAAACGAACAAATTAAAACATTAGCCGAACATTACGAATTTGCAGTATCTTGGATCAAAACGTATATAGTACCATACAACGTCGCTTTCAATTGGATCACCGTAGGAAACGAAGTGCTCCAAGGAGAGATCGGTCGGTACGTGCCACAAGCCATGAAGAATATGAAAGCTGCATTAACCCAAATCGGAATCTCAAGGACCATCCACGTAACCACGGTCTTAGCTACAACCGCACTAGCTAACTCTTATCCACCATCAGCCGGAATATTTAAACCGGAAATAACGGAGCTTGTAACCGAAATCGCATCGGTTCTTAGCTCAACCGATTCACAACTCATGGTTAATGTTTACCCTTATTTCGCATACGCGTCCGATCCTAGCCATATATCACTGGAATACGCCACGTTCGGTTCGACTTCACCAGTCGTGACCGATGGAAATTACCAATACACGAACATGTTCGATGCGATGGTGGATAGTTTCAACGCAGCGTTAGAGAAACTTAGCTACGGAGGAGTGAAAGTGTACGTGGCGGAAACTGGTTGGCCTACGAGAGGGAATCCTCCGTACACGAGCGTGGAGAACGCGCGTGCCTATAATCAAGGGTTACTTAAGAAACTCACCACAGGTACTATGGGTACGCCGAGGCGGCCCAATGTTCCTGTGGTGACGTTTTTCTTTGAGATGTTTAATGAGGATTTGAAGCAAGGAGAGGTTGAAAAGAGCTTTGGCTTCTTCACTCCTGATATGACTCCTGTTTATGATATGTGGAATGTAATAAGTGTCTCTAGCTAAAGACAAGGAAGGGTGATTCTAGTAGTTTGATTTCCTAATATAAACGTCAAATCTAGCTACTTAAAACACCCATAAAACCAATTTGGGTCTAAGCTTCTTTTTTCCTTTTTTTTTTTAAAAAGCCATCTGTTTTTAATCAATTAAATAGCTATGTACAATCCGATTTGAAAATGAATTATTTAGGTAAAAAAAAACCAAAAGATAAGTCATTTTCTATCTCATATATGGGTACAATAGTTTATATATATTTACCTATGATTGAATAATTTTTTTTTAACCATCTATTTTCATTACTCTTGAACATCACCTCATTTTGTTTTTCCCACACAAAAGAAAAAACTGTTCGTATTTCAGGGTTTACCAATCGGAATGGATATAATTATGATTTTTGTTTCTTCACTCAAACAAATTGTGAAAATTTCGTAAAATACAAGAGACAAACGATTATACAATTTCGTTTAACTTCCTAACTGCGGGCCTCTTATAACGAAGGAACGAAATGGGCCTAAAAAGCCCATAACACTAAACAACACTCATAGAAAAACAGTTGCGTCAAAATGACGACATTTGGGAATCTAACCGCAAGTTTTTAAATAAAATAAAAAAGAGTCTCCGTTTTTTTTTCTTCTTTTGCGTACGTCAATTTGTAGAAGCAATCGCTTTTCTCTTTTTCACGAACATCCTTCGAGCTCGGAGCTCTCTCTCTCTCTCAATCGCCGGAAACCACCGCGATCTCCGTCGCTTATCATCTCCGGTACTATTACACGAATCCATGAACCTATTATATTGTTGAAAATTCACCAATATCTTTCTCGAAATTTCTAGATAAGATTCGATATAAGTCACCGATCTTCGATTTTTAGGATAGAGATCTATCTTTGATTCTCGATTAGGATTTCGTTGAAGCGAGAGATCTCGGTTCATTGTTTATGTATTGTCGAACATTGAACTCTGTGATTCGTCTCGATCTTGTGGATCGGATAATTTCCGTTACTATTGATGCATTTTGCTTACTCTTTGCATGAATTGTTGATTAAATTCACCAGAATTGCTTCTACAGATCTGGAATTTTTCAATTGTCTTTGGACTTAATCGTGTATTTGCTTGTGATCGCCATTTGCGGATCTGGTTAATACTCACTCTAATGCGTAGAAGTAGAGTTCAGTTTATCTGGTTAGCTTAAGCATGATTAGATTTTCGGATCCATAGTCAATGGCGATTAAACAGCATTGCTTCTCTCTGATTATATGAAATTTACATTTTTTCGATCCATGGTCAACTGTTAGTGACGATTTCGTCGAATTTCGCATGGATCTTACAGTTGAGGTTTTTGTTATGAAAGTTTAATCTTGGTCTATTGTGTTGAATAGGTTTTTGATTCATCGAATGGGGAAAATCAAGAAAGTGAATCGTAGGTCTCACATTGCTACTCCATATCCATCACCACCGTCTTGTTGCAAGAAAGAATGGGCAGGCACAAACTGTCCGGTGTGTTTGGAGTCTCCACACAATGCTGTTCTTCTCCTGTGTTCGTCTTACCACAAAGGATGTCGTCCTTATATGTGCGCAACCAGCAGCCGTTTCGCCAACTGCCTTGACCAATACAGGAAATCATACGGCAACGAAGACTCGGACCAACCCGAGCTTTTGTGTCCGCTATGCAGGGGTCAGGTGAAAGGTTGGACTGTCGTGGAAGATGCTCGGATGCATTTCAACTCCAAGAGAAGGACTTGTATGCAGGATAACTGTAACTTTGTAGGTAACTTCCGAAAGCTCAAGAAACACATGAAGGAGAAACACCCGCATGCTTGCCCGAGAGCGGTTGATCCAGCTTTAGAAACGAAATGGAAGAGGCTTGAGAGGGAAAGAGACAGAAGAGACGTGATTAGCACGATAATGTCATCGACTCCTGGTGCTGTTGTGTTGGGAGATTATGTGATAGAGCCGCATAACCGAGCTGTTTATGATGAAGATGACGAAGAAGATTTCAGTTCGGATGATGACTCTCTGAGCAACGGGATACTGGATCTGGACTCATGGCAAGGACAACGCCATCATATTCGGTTTATCGATATGGAATCAACCGATTTCGCTTCCACTTCACGATCCCCTGCTTCTCCATCTCGTGCGCTTCGCCGTATGCTCTTTCAAAGGAACCAGAGAGGCGGCGATAGAGGTCGGTAACTTTTAACTTAACCGATGCAAAATTCATGATCATTGATTGTCTCAAGCATTACAATTTGACTTTATATAAAAACTGCAGGAGCATTGTAAAAGGCTTAACATGACTAGCCAAATTAGCCACACAGGGAATTGAATTGAAAAAAAACACTCGCAATGGTCCCTTTCTTTTAATTTAATTTTTATGTAAATTATGTATTTGGGTAATTTTAAATTCTTGTTTCTACATTTGTTGTACTCTAATGAGGCATGAATCTCTCATGCCTTTTTCCAATTTCTTTGTATTTCATGTTTTTCTTTTTTTATGTATTGATTTGATTTTCATCTTCCTTTTTAAGTTGTGGAAGAAAAATAAAAAGGTTATTGAAAAAGATGTTTCTCACTTATCGGTCAACTTGTTACTAAAAATCAGTTTCTTGATTCTTGATTTGTCTTCACGAGTCTCTTCTACTTCGTACGCAGCCTCCAAGCATACGTATAAGCTTTTTCTACATTTCAGAAAACAGAAAACACAAATTACCTTTAAGAAAATTTGC